GAAGTAGAATAGCACACTTATGGGTTACAACTTCTGCCATGATGTTGATCCGTTGAATAAAACATGAAAAAAAAAATCATCATAAACATCTTAAACAGCAAGAGCCTTTCTACAGGATATTGCAATCCCCTTGGTGCAAACCCTGTCAAACTTACAGAAAGCAAACACCGTCAAACTTACAGAAAGCAAAGACCGTCAAACTTACAGAAAGCAAAGACTAAAGCTTACAGAAAACAAAGACCGTCAAAATTACATAAAACAAACTGTGTCAAACATAACAGATAACAAAACTATGTCAAACTTACAGACAACAAAGTGTGTTCAACTTACAGATAACAGTGTCAAACTTACAGATAACAAATTGTGTCAAACTTAACAGATAAGAAAACTGTGCCAAACTTAATAGATAACAAACTATGTCAAACTTACAGATAAAAAACTATGTCAAACTTACAGATAACAAACTAACTCAAACCTATCAAAAACAAACAGGGTTCGCTTGGCACAAAGACCATCAAACTTACATATACCCTCAACAGCGACATCTTTTGTATAGGAGATTGCACACTTGTGCAAACCTTGCCATCTTGGTGCAAACACTGGGAAACTTATGAAAACAAATACTGTTGTCCTCCCATACTTCTCAATATAAAGTTACTGTTAACTTAATAAAACTATGTGCTTAATGCACATTTTCTGGTTTTATCTTTTATTATTTACAGACAACTTATCCAGTGCAGAATTGAAAGTGTTTACAAAAGCTGTGTGATGGTTGCACTGTAAAAAAGTAGTGAAAGGAACCACCTAAAATGGATAAGGCTGAAATTCTAAAGACTACAAATGAATTTTGATGGAAAGAACAATTAGGTGAAATGCTGCCAAAGGTTGAATGAATCTGGAGTTAAGTCTTTAATATAGGAAACAAGAGGCATGAACCCATGGGAATCATCCCCCCCCCACCCCAAAACGTTTAAAAAAGACAACTTGACAACCGTGACTAATAAACTGTGAAACAATTGATTTAATCTACATAAACAAAAAGTTCTAAAGAAATTATGATCTTTTGCAGGCTACAAAAACTGGGTCATAACCAAACTGGAAATCCTGAACAAACCTTTTTTTTCCTCAGATTTTATCTCGTTCATCGAATCTTTTCCTGAAATAGGTAAAGATATATAAAGTGAGTAATTAACAAATATGAACGGAGTGAAGCATTAAAAATGTAGCCAGTGACTTGTGCCATGACCCTATGACCTCTGTCACTGAGGCTATGGGAAATAATGACAATAAGCCATTTGGTTCACATGGATCTCAACCCCTACACCTAATGGTTTTTAGTAACTACACTCATATCTTAACTCCTTAAAAGCTGCGCAGGTGCAAACACAACCAATAACATTAACGATGCGTCTCACAAACATGTCACTCTAGACAAGTGAGAAAAGTGATATTACAGGAAATGGGACCCAGCCAGAAATGTTGGTACTGTGGCTCCTTAGGGTGCCAAGGATTAAGGGAGCAATCAATAAATATGAACAGAGTGGAGCATTAAATGAAGCATTAATATATTCTCCTAAGACTAAATAATATATTCAGTGAATCATACTGTGACTTCCTAACCTCCTCAGAATTGTAATAGTTTGGTTATAGAAAAATTATGACGTCAAAATAGCTTGAATAAAAAGCTATGTTGTTCACAAGAAAACCCCTAAATGCTATTTCTGATAAATATATCTGTGCAGATGCAAACAGAACTCAATGCTGTTGACAAGGCATCTCAGCGAGAGGTAACAGTGTGAATGCGGGGTAAGCAGCAGAATTTACAGGAAGGAGAAAAACAGGAGTGCCAGATTTGCCGATTCTTGAGACATCAGGGTTAAATCAGTCATTAGTATAGACAGCGGTTCTCAACCTGTGGGTCATGACCATTTTTAGGGGTGAAAGAACCATCTTAGGGGTCGCCACAACATGAAGAACTGAATTAAAGGGTCGCGGCATTAGAAAGGTTGAGAACCGCGGGTCTAGCAGATAGAGACAGTCCTGTTGAAATAATACTATGTTTATTTGTTACTAACTGCAGGGCCAGTATCATCCTATGCACTTCGTCTGCCCCTCAACACAGAGCCATCTGTAAAGATAATCACATAACTTGGACGGGAATTGTCAGGAATCATTTGCTGAACTTCTGATTCTGCAGCACTAGCTGGCCAGTCCCTGCACTCACGACTCAAAGTGATAAGAGAAGTCTGAAATTGCTCAGACAATTTGACACTCTGATTTTTTAAAATCTACAAACAAATCATCTATTCAAGGAAACCATGGAGAGAATATGACGCATAACTGAATCATGTAAAAATTGTAAATACATTTATAAAATAAACTAGAAGATGATGGAATATAGAATGAAGAGAACAGTCACCGAGCAAGTTATCACATGTACAAACAAGTATATATATATATATATATATATAAGGTTATCATACACATGAAACAAGTTTTCAATACATGATATGAAACAAGTTATATCTGGAAAAAAGTTATAATATGAAAGTAGTTATACATACGAAACAAGTTACACACATGAAACAATTCACACAAGTGAGACTAGTTATCATGAATATGAAACAAGTGATCAAACATATGAAACAAGTTATATATAAATGAGACCAGTTATCATGCATATGCAGTATATATATTAAAGAAGTTATACATATGAAACAAGTCTCACATCTGAGAACTCTTATCAGGCATACAAAACAAGTTATCATATATATGTTAAACATGTGATCACATCACAGTACTTGAACATCTTAGCAATTAAGAATAGAGAATGTTTAAAGTGGCTCAGGCTCTAGTAGAAGGGCTAAGTGCCTGCAGACAACACACACTCTGTAGCTCCAGTGATGATCTCCAAGAATCTTCACAAAGAAGGTTGGCTGAAATGGATCTTCAAAATGCTCTGTCTTCTTGCCGTGGTTGTACTCTCTCCCAAGTTGCTGTTTGACCATCTCCTGAGGTTATCCTCCAAAATGTACCGCTGTCTGACTCTTACTCATTTGCCTTCAATTCTCCTTCAAGCATGGTTTCTATAGGAATAATATTTATGTTTTTTGATGTGGCAAAACTATTCAACTAGTCTGCTTTCTTCAGCAACTGTCTTTTCTTTCTGTCTTCAAAACCTCTACACTTGATCATTCAGGTGCCTGCTGATTGATTGGAGAATATGATTGGAGAACCAGAAATATGCATTTGAAAATAAATGCAGGAAGAAAACTTTGAAAAGAAAATGGGATGAATTTACGAGGAGTGAAGAAATAACAGAAACGCCTGGGCAACCACTAATAACAGTTGTAAGCCAGAGAAGATGGCGTTATACTGGACACATCCTGAGAATAAACAAGCAGAGAAGATGGCATTATACTGGACACATCCTGAGAATAAACGAGCAGAGAAGATGGCGTTATACTGGACACATCCTGAGAATAAACGAGCAGAGAAGATGGCGTTATACTGGACACATCCTGAGAATAAACAAGCAGAGAAGATGGCATTATACTGGACACATCCTGAGAATAAACGAGCAGAGAAGATGGCATTATACTACTCACATCCTGAGAATAAACGAGCAGAGAAGATGGCATTATACTGGACACATCCTGAGAATAAACGAGCAGAGAATCACCAGACAGGCACTAACATGACTAATCAAGGGATTAAGGAGGTGAGGACGCCCAAAAGAAACCCTACACCAACGTTGATAAGACAGGCCAAAAGTGCTAGACTGGAGACTGGATTCCATCCATGATGCATAGGACAGAAGTGAATGGAGGAACAGCATTCACCGGATGTAAACTCTGGTGGAAATTTCTGCTTGCTCATCTACTTCTGGACTTCAAACTCATTCCAAAACTTGAGTTTTGTGTGCATATTCATTTGACAGATCTGGTTTATTTGTATGCAGACTGTTGGTTCCTCTCCTTTCAAGCAGATGCATTCCGAATTGGAGAAGAAGAAAAAAACAGTCATCTTTTACCACATGCTTGTCAAAGTGGCAGTGGGTCTATTCCCCCCCCCCCCCCCCCCCCCCCACTTAACATGGGGTCCCAGAACTTGCAAAAGGAAAGTGATTAATTCAAGAACAATAAATATCACATTTGAAACTATCTGTACCATACCAATTCTGTCTTTCAGGTCTACTTCCTCTTCTGCTGGAGCATAAGCCCTCAACCAACTTAGGCCAAGGGCAAGTGGCCATGTTTCGATATCTTACATGATCACCTGAATCACAGATCAAGTCAGTGATCTTGTCACATCCCATCCAAATGACCAAGCCAACCAGGTATTTATCTCGCTACCACTGACTCTTTTTCCATCAATCTCCCCCTTATGTGTTTTTTAGCTTGTCTGCATGTTGTCCATGTCTTGTATAATAATCTAGGTTTCACATAACATGTTAAAACTCTTTCTCATTGCAACTGACATCTTCTTATTGGTTGAGACTAGCATCAGGCACCCGTTATGCCACCTGCATGACAAGACAAGGATCCTCACTGTACTGCACACGGCCTGACCTCTATCGTTCACTGTAAATTTCAACACATAATTCCATGACATAATATTTCTGTCTAACTGTATGCACACAGTCTGACCTCTATCGTTCACTGTCAATTTCAACACATAATTTCATGACATAATATTTGTGTCTAACTGTAAGCACACAGCCTGACCTCTATCGTTCACTGTAAACCTCAACACATAATTCCATGACATAATATTTCTGTCTAACTGTATGCACACAGCCTGACTTCTATCGTTCACTGTCAATTTCAACACATAATTTCATGACATAATATTTCTGTATAACTGTATGCACACAGCCTGACCTATATCGTTCATTGTAAACTTCAACACAGAATTCCATGACATAATATTCCTGTCTAACTGTACTGCACACATCCTGACCCTATCATGCATTCTAAACAAGACTGAACCTCTTCATGCTAGCTATTCCCCTCCAGTGCAGCAGCCAACAAGCTCTGAACCATTTCTCCCAGACACGTGTGTTCCTGCTCCTCCAGTCGCATCAGTATCTGGATGAATCTTCGCAGAGTCACATTATTTTCTCGGAAATACAGTTCTAGAAACACCTGGGCTGGTAGTCTCGTTGGGTTAATCTGAACTATAGATAAGTAAACACTAAATTCGTCAAGGTTCAAGCCGCATTCACCTGGTAGGAAGAAAAAGAAAAAACTATTTATTCACACACAAGAAACAAACCACAGATAAAATAAAACAAGTCATTATCATCATCAATTGTAGTCATTAGGATTGTGAAAAGGGACAGTTATCAGACCAGCAAACATCTTCTTCTTCTTCTTCTTCCGCAATCAGCCTGAGATACTGGGTTGAGATATTGTATTGTTGTCTACAGCTATGTTGCAGTATCTGCACATTTGTCCTGACACATCTGGTTCATTCAAATCTGTAATTTGTAGCTTTCTTATGACATGACTATTGAAGGGATACTCAAGTTTATTCTCCTTCTTTCCTCAGTGAGGTCCTGGAACCCTTAAGGCAGTGGTTCTCAACCTTCATTATGCCACGAACCTTTAATAAGTTCCTCATATCGTGGCTACCCCTCAACCTTACAATTATTTTCATCACTACTTCATAACTTCAATGAATATTTGTTTTGTGATGGTCTTTTGCGACCCATGTGAAAGGGTCGATTAACCCAAAAAAAAGGGTTGTGACCCATAGGTTGAGAACAGCTGCCTTAAAGGGAGAGTCCAGCACTCCATGGGTGGTAGTGGCTATTGTCATTCTGTATGAATTAGGTTAGGTTAGTTGTGTACCCTTTACAGGATGTTGCTAGGCAAATTTACATCCAGTAGTTTCTGGATGAATTACATTGTCCTTAATGTCATGATTCCATGTTTTCCTTGAACGCTATTGTGCCCTCACATAAGATCTTTTTAGCGTTGTAGTCAGGAACCATCTCCAGGCTTTGAGAGACATTTGCCATATGGTGCTTGCATCATACTTTTTACAGGCCAACTGGGTGCTCAGTAGGTAAGGTGATTGATATCATTCCAGCCAACTTCTACTTCTTAGATTAATTCCTGATATATTTTTAGGCCGGCATCAGAATCTATGACCAGTAAACAGCTTGTAAGTCACTGCACTACCCTAGCTCTCAAACTACAACTACTTATTTGTTGTTCTTCTTCAGCATTACAAAACCTTGATGTTCTTCACTATATGTATCCCCCACCTGCAATCATGTCTTTGTCTGGCCTTCTCTTTCCAACCAGTGACTTCAAATATTATCTATCGACTGTTGTTCTTGCTCTACCCGTCGTCCTCTTCTTCTTAACTCTTTAAAGACGCATCACCATAATACTGGCAAAAAATGTATCCCTAATGTCAGTATATTGGCGTATGATAAAGACTCTAATTTTGTTCCGTTTGTGGGGAAAACAAACTTTTATGAACAAGATTTTTTATTTGTGAAGCATTGTGGTCGGTGCATTATTTTACGCTTGAAAAAAAAAATTTTTTTTTTTTTAGATGTGATACAATTTTTAAGTGATTTTTCTGTACTAAATGATAAGGGAAAAGGTCTCGAACTGTTCATACTGCTCTGTCGTTGATGAATCTCTGCCAGATGGTGACAGTAGTCTTGATTTTATGATTGATATTTAAGTAGCACACCTATTGGCGACAATTTAGTTAAGGATTTGAAAATTGAACAAAATATTTCAATCCGATAAATCTTTCGATCAGCCTTTTTCCCGATTTTCGGTTGTTGTGAAATTTGACATGTCATACAAAAATGATCATAACATCCAAAGTATTTAAATTAATTGATCAGACAGCGTCTGACCAGTAGAGGTGGAGGGAGTTGATCAGACAGCATTTGACCAGTAGAGGTGGAGGGAGTTGATCAGACAGCATTTGACCAGTAGAGGTGGAGGGAGCTGATCAGACAGCATCTGACCAGTAGAGGTGAAGGGAGCTGATCAGACAGTGTCTGACCAGTAGAGGTGAAGGGAGCTGATCAGACAGCATCTGACCAGTAGAGGTGGAGGGAGTTGATCAGACAGTGTCTGACCAGTAGAGATTAAGGGAGCTGATCAGACAGCATCTGACCAGTAGAGGTGGAGGGAGCTGATCAGACAGTGTCTGACCAGTAGAGGTGGAGGGAGCTGATCAGACAGCGTCTGACCAGTAGAGGTGAAGGGAGTTGATCAGACAGCATTTGACCAGCAGGAGTGAAGGGAGCTGATCAGACAGCATTTGACCAGCAGGAGTGAAGGGAGTTGATCAGACTGCATTTGACCAGCAGAGGTGGAGGGAGCTGATCAGACAGCACCTGACCAGCAGAGGTGAAGGCAGTTGATCAGACAGCATTTGACCAGCAGGAGTGAAGGGAGTTGATTGATCAGACTGCATTTGACCAGTAGAGGTGGAGGGAGCTGATCAGACAGCACCTGACCAGCAAAGATGGAGAACTCTCAATGTACAACAATAAATTGAAACAATGAACAAAATAAGAGAGGGGGAAATAGGTGGAGTGCAAAATGCTCTCACAGCTATGAACTCACCAGCCAACATCTGAAGGACTTCAGGCACACTCAGGTAACGGTATATATCTTGCAGAGGCCGATGGATATATCTCAGATTCTGCATGTTGGTATCCAGAACTCTGTTCTGTCTCCTCTCTTCCTCAGTCGGCTCAATGCCAACAGCACTGGCAGCTGGTTCACTGTTCTGCTGAATCCAATTAAAAGTTAACACTTTATAAATCTGAATGAAAATGACATAGACAAGAGACTGCACAACTTATTGCTTGTTAGTTTAGTTAGTCTGGTTTCCCATCTCATCGGGTGTTAGACAGTGATGTATGTGTCTTTTCACTGCATTCATCACTTACCTTGATAGAGTTACATAGGAGGCAAATACAGACACTGAAGAAATGCAATGAACTTTTTTTTGCAGAAGATGAATGTCTAATACACCACCAGGAACAGGATTGACAACATCATACTGACTCCTTACATCAATCCTGCACAAAGTATGATATGAGAATAAACACCACGAAAACTGAGGTAATGAGAATAGTCATAAAACACAATAACATCAACGTTCATATTAACTGTACTACAATCAAATAAGTATGAGAATTCAAAATATTTAGGACGCATATTAACGAGGATGGCAGACTTGATTGAGAGATAGAAGCCATAATACAGGCAGCAAAAATGTCAGCTACCAGTTAACCCCACTGCTTAGACACCCAAATATCTCCCTTAAAGCAAAAACAGCAAATGAGTAACAGCATCTTCGTCCCTACTTTATGCTATCAGTGCCAAACACGGACAATTATGACGGCACTAGAACAGAAAATAAATTACACGTTAAATGCGCTGTCTCCTCAAGGTCATTAACAACACAAAAAGAGACAGGATCATGAATACCAGCATTACAGAGAAAGTTGGAATAAGACCATTTCTGGATTATACTGACAGACAAAGAATGAAGTGGTTCAGCCATCTAATGAGAACGCAGCCAGACCAAACTGCATATGAGACTGTTTTACAGCAAAAAATCAGGGAGGAAGGTGAAGGGAAGACCAAGAAAGAGAAGGATAAATGGTGTAGCTGAAACCTGCAAAACTATGAACAAATCCATCACCCAAGCCACCTGAGAAGCTCAAGACCAATACAGAAAACCACGACTACGACCTGATATCTGTGAAATGACAAAACCATGACACTGGGCTACAACCTGGTATCAGTGAGATGACTAAACCATGACACTGGGCTACAACCTGGTATCAGTGAGATGACTAAACCATGACACTGGGCTACAACCTGGTATCAGTGAGATGACTAAACCATGAAACTGGGCTACAACCTGGTATCAGTGAGATGAATAAACTATGTCACTGGGCTACAACCTGGTATCAGTGAGATGACTAAACTATGTCACTGGGCTACAACCTGGTATCAGTGAGATGACTAAACTATGTCACTGGGCTACAACCTGGTATCAGTGAGATGACTAAACTATGTCACTGGGCTACAACCTGGTATCAGTGAGATGACTAAACTATGTCACTGGGCTACAACCTGGTATCAGTGAGATGACTAAACTATGTCACTGGGCTACAACCTGGTATCAGTGAGATGACTAAACTATGTCACTGGGCTACAACCTGGTATCAGTGAGATGACTAAACTATGTCACTGGGCTACAACCTGGTATCAGTGAGATGACTAAACTATGTCACTGGGCTACAACCTGGTATCAGTGAGATGACTAAACTATGTCACTGGGCTACAACCTGGTATCAGTGAGATGACTAAACTATGTCACTGGGCTACAACCTGGTATCAGTGAGATGACTAAACTATGTCACTGGGCTACAACCTGGTATCAGTGAGATGACTAAACTATGTCACTGGGCTACAACCTGGTATCAGTGAGATAACTAAACTATGTCACTGGGCTACAACCTGGTATCAGTGAGATGACTAAACTATGTCACTGGGCTACAACCTGGTATCAGTGAGATGACTAAACTATGTCACTGGGCTACAACCTGGTATCAGTGAGATGACTAAACTATGTCACTGGGCTACAACCTGGTATCAGTGAGATGACTAAACTATGTCACTGGGCTACAACCTGGTATCAGTGAGATGACTAAACTAGTGTCACTGGGCTACAACCTGGTATCAGTGAGATGACTAAACTATGTCACTGGGCTACAACCTGGTATCAGTGAGATGACAAAACTATGTCACTGGGCTACAACCTGGTATCAGTGAGATGACTAAACTATGACACTGGGCTACAACCTGGTATCAGTGAGATGACTAAACCATGACACTGGGCTACAACCTGGTATCAGTGAGATGACTAAACTATGTCACTGGGCTACAACCTGGTATCAGTGAGATGACTAAACTATGTCACTGGGCTACAACCTGGTATCAGTGAGATGACTAAACTATGTCACTGGGCTACAACCTGGTATCAGTGAGATGACTAAACTATGTAACTGGGCTACAACCTGGTATCAGTGAGATGACAAAACTATGTCACTGGGCTACAACCTGGTATCAGTGAGATGACTAAACTATGACACTGGGCTACAACCTGGTATCAGTGAGATGACTAAACCATGACACTGGGCTACAAACTGGTATCAATGAGATGACTAAACCATGACACTGGGCTACAACCTGGTATCAATGAGATGACTAAACCATGACACTGGGCTACAACCTGGTATCAGTGAGATGACTAAACTATGTCACTGGGCTACAACCTGGTATCAGTGAGATGACTAAACTATGACACTGGGCTACAACCTGGTATCAGTGAGATGACTAAACCATGACACTGGGCTACAACCTGGTATCAATGAGATGACTAAACCATGACACTGGGCTACAACCTGGTATCAGTGAGATGACTAAACTATGTCACTGGGCTACAACCTGGTATCAGTGAGATGACTAAACTATGTCACTGGGCTACAACCTGGTATCAGTGAGATGACTAAACTATGACACTGGGCTACAACCTAGTATCAGTGAGATGACAAAACCACGACACTGGGCTACAACCTGGTATCAGTGAGATGACTAAACTATGACACTGGGCTACAACCTAGTATCAGTGAGATGACAAAACCACGACACTGGGCTACAACCTGGTATCAGTGAGATGACTAAACTATGTCACTGGGCTACAACCTGGTATCAGTGAGATGACAAAACCACGACACTGGGCTACAACCTGGTATCAGTGAGATGACAAAACTATGACACTGGGCTACAACCTAGTATCAGTGAGATGACAAAACCACGACACTGGGCTACAACCTGGTATCAGTGAGATGACAAAACCACGACACTGGGCTACAACCTGGTATCAGTGAGATGACAAAACTATGACACTGGGCTACAACCTGGTATCAGTGAGATGACAAAACCACGACACTGGGCTACAACCTGGTATCAGTGAGATGACAAAACTATGACACTGGGCTACAACCTGGTATCAGTGAGATGACAAAACCACGACACTGGGCTACAACCTGGTATCAGTGAGATGACAAAACCACGACACTGGGCTACAACCTGGTATCAGTGAGATGACAAAACCACGACACTGGGCTACAACCTGGTATCAGTGAGATGACAAAACTATGACACTGGGCTACAACCTAGTATCAGTGAGATGACAAAACCACGACACTGGGCTACAACCTGGTATCAGTGAGATGACTAAACTATGTCACTGGGCTACAACCTAGTATCAGTGAGATGACAAAACCACGACACTGGGCTACAACCTGGTATCAGTGAGATGACTAAACTATGACACTGGGCTACAACCTAGTATCAGTGAGATGACAAAACCACGACACTGGGCTACAACCTGGTATCAGTGAGATGACTAAACTATGTCACTGGGCTACAACCTGGTATCAGTGAGATGACTAAACTATGACACTGGGCTACAACCTAGTATCAGTGAGATGACTAAACCATGACACTGGGCTACAACCTGGTATCAGTGAGATGACTAAACTATGTCACTGGGCTACAACCTGGTATCAGTGAGATGACTAAACCATGACACTGGGCTACAACCTGGTATCAGTGAGATGACTAAACTATGACACTGGGCTACAACCTGGTATCAGTGAGATGACTAAACCATGACACTGGGCTACAACCTGGTATCAGTGAGATGACTAAACCATGACACTGGGCTACAACCTGGTATCAGTGAGATGACTAAACCATGACACTGGGCTACAACCTGGTATCAGTGAGATGACAAAGCCATGACACTGGGCTACAAAATGGTATCAGTGAGATGACTAAACTATGACACTGGGCTACAACCTGGTATCAGTGAGATGACTAAACCATGACACTGGGCTACAACCTGGTATCAGTGAGATGACTAAACCATGACACTGGGCTACAACCTGGTATCAGTGAGATGACTAAACCATGACACTGGGCTACAACCTGGTATCAGTGAGATGACTAAACCATGACACTGGGCTACAACCTGGTATCAGTGAGATGACTAAACCATGACACTGGGCTACAACCTGGTATCAGTGAGATGACAAAGCCATGACACTGGGCTACAACCTGGTATCAGTGAGATGACTAAACCATGACACTGGGCTACAACCTGGTATCAGTGAGATGACACCATGACACTGGGCTACAACCTGGTATCAGTGAGATGACACCATGACACTGGGCTACAACCTGGTATCAGTGAGATGACACCATGACACTGGGCTACAACCTGGTATCAGTGAGATGACACCATGACACTGGGCTACAACCTGGTATCAGTGAGATGAATAAACCATGACACTGGGCTACAACCTGGTATCAGTGAGATGACAAAGCCATGACACTGGGCTACAACCTGGTATCAGTGAGATGACTAAACCATGACACTGGGCTACAACCTGGTATCAGTGAGATGACTAAACCATGACACTGGGCTACAACCTGGTATCAGTGAGATGACTAAACCATGACACTGGGCTACAACCTGGTATCAGTGAGATGACTAAACCATGACACTGGGCTACAACCTGGTATCAGTGAGATGACAAAACCATGACACTGGGCTACAAAATGGTATCAGTGAGATGACTAAACTATGACACTGGGCTACAACCTGGTATCAGTGAGATGACTAAACCATGACACTGGGCTACA